TTGCCCCTAATGTGTTCTTTATGCATCTCATTATGTTTGTTACATCTAGGTCTTTCTTTTGGCATTTTAAAAATGGTTTATGTTGCAGGGAACTCGACTTGGAAGTTCAGATCCAAAAGGATGTTTCAGTGAGTATTTTAATTTTCATTTGCTTCTGTCAAACATCCTTGATTCTTTTGTTGGATTCTTTCAAGAAAGGGGAGTTTAATTGATTCCTTCAATATTTCTGTGAAAGATTCATTAGGAATTACATGTTGGGTCCCCCCGTGCTTCATTATACTTGGGTTTCATGAATGTGATTCAACTAGCAGATGAATGTTTCCATTTCTCTATACACTAACATTTTTTGAAACTTTATAATTTGTTGGTGACGTCTTATCCAATTCTATCAAACTAAATGACAAGACAAACATATATTAGTGATCTTTCCTTCAAAGGCAGATATTGGACTTCCGTCTGGGAAATCACTTTTCCAGATCCAAGCTGAGAGAATTTTGCGTGTGCAAAGATTAGCAGCTAGATCAGCAAATGAAGGTGTGCTTCACTAATTCTCAGCTGGATGTTAATTCTAAGATCCTTTGTGTTCTGAGGAATACATAACTTACAGGTGCTGGCATTGTTCCAATCCACTGGTATATCATGACTAGTCCATTCACAGATGAACCCACACGGAAATTTTTTGAATGTTATAAATATTTTGGCCTCAATGAAGATCAAGTAATTACTCAATCTATCTTTTTATTTGATGTTTGGTCTCATATGGCCATATCTAATAGTTGATTTTCGGGTCACCTGGAATGAACAGAACTGTTTTGGGTGCAGGTTACATTCTTCAAACAGGGAACAATTCCATGTGTCTCAAAGGATGGACGATTTATAATGGAGACTCCATATAGAGTATGGTGATTTCTTTCCTATCTTGATAAAACATTGTGGTTTTCAGGTCATATGCTTTGAGCTACCTGTTCACAGGAAGTCATCTTTACTTGCAACAAAATATATTAATGAAGGCTGTTAACATTAGATCATATGCAAACCACATATATCTTTGCAGGCATATTGCTTCTCCTACTTTCTCCCCCCTTATCAAATGTGCAACCCTTGGTGGATATCAGGGCCACATATTTTCCATGAAATAAGATGACATGTTAATACAGTAGTGAACAAAGCTGTCATATAGTTGGGAGAATGCTAATGGAGATGTCAAGCTCAGTGTGCAAGGGATCTTATAAATTGATTTTGTCATGTGACTGATTCTATGACTCATTGTCGTAGCCAATTACACTAGATATGTGCACGGAAAAAAAATATGGATGATGACCTGACTCAAAAGTTTCCGATGCCCTTACCCGCTTTTTCTTAGTATGTGGAATATTATTTTATTACCATTCTAAGTTTCTAACTGCCATGTGACATTTGCTTTGAAATCCAGGTTGCCAAGTCTCCTGATGGGAATGGAGGAGTTTATACTGGTAGGTTACATGTTCAATAGGGGTGGGATTCATATAAATTGGATTCCCTTTCTTGTTTTGCTCTTATCCTTATTGTACGTAGTGAGCTTAAGTTCTTTATGTTGGAGTAATTCAACCTGAACTATGTTTCAGCATTGAAGTATGAGAAGTTATTGGAAGAAATGTCAACGAGAGGCATTAAATATATAGATTGTTATGGGGTTGACAATGCTTTGGTTAGTTCTACCTTTTTTTTTGTATCGAGTTTCTTTTGTTCGATTGAAGTTAAACATAAGCAAATGATTGAAATTATATATCAAGCATATATTAATTACTACTACTCAAGCAGGTCCGAGTTGCAGATCCAACCTTTTTGGGTTATTTCATTGATAAGGGTGTGCCTGCTGCTGCAAAAGTTGTAAGAAAGGTAATAATTTTCTTTAATTTGATACGGAGTATTTCTTTTATTAAACTTTGTATACCTGCTCCAAATTTTATATATATATATATATATATATATATATATATATATATATATATATATATATATATATATATATATCATCTCCGATGGAGCCAAAATTTCACCATTTTTTGGCTTTGGGGTGTGATGGAATAAATCAAAATGGATCTCTAAACTGTCTATCTGTGCTTCTTTAATTAATGAAGTAGCAGTTAGTCAAACAATGCAACTTTCGACGTTGAGCCGGGGGTCTCTTTGGAAACAACCTCTCTACTTTCGAGTAGGGGTAAGGTCTGCGTACACACACCCTCCCCAGACCCTACTCTTGTAGGATTTAACTGGGTTGTTGTTGTTGTTGTTACACACACACACACACATACATGGTAGTCAAGATCGCGATCTGACTCGTACAATTCTACCAGTCCAGAGATCGCCAGCACCTTTCCAATCCAACTCGCCTTTAGAATCGCGAAAATTCATCGGGTAGGTCGGATCGTCTATCTGGATTGTGCAATCGCACAATCGCAGGAGATCGGCGATTGTGAAAAGCCCAAAGATGAAAACACATTGTCGCTTCAAATCCCAATTCCAATTGCGTCTGTCGCGACTCCCAAAGACCAAAGCACAGTGTCTGTCGCGACTCCCAAAGACCAGAACGCAGTGTCTGTCGCGACTCCCAATTGCAATCTCATGACTTCCAAGTTTGAATAGCCCATGTTTCGCCAGTCTTCGATTTTGTCGCTTTTGAATGGGAAAAGCCCAAGTTTCGCCAGACTTCGATTTTGTCGCTTTTGAAAAGCCTAACATCACCTTGTGTGATGTTATGTTTTGTTAAAGTTATATATATATGTGTGTGTGTGTGTATGCGTGTGTGTGTATATAACTATATATATGAATATATATATATATATATATATATATATATATATATAATTGAATAAATAATATATATAGATACATACATACTTACATATATAGTAGGATCTTATGGTCCGAGTCACGATCTTACGATGCTACGATCTTCATTAGGCCTATCGATTGTACGTAGAATCTAGAGTTTGACTACCATGTATATATATGATTAGGAATCTGATAAGATTGTAACCTTTAAAATAAAACGTGAAAGTTGTCAACTCAGTGTCGTAGATCTAACCAAAGAAGTCTTTTCAAGTTTACATTGCTAAAAGTTCAAGTATATACTTGTGAAATATCTTGTTCTTACTATTAAAGGGAAAGTGTATAATTTTTTCTAGCATTATGCCATCTAGAAGATTTACATCACTCCTATGGCATCATCTTATTTAATTAAATTATCCATCTTTCACATGGGATCAAGTGAGCTCTCTGAAAATTTCTGGTGAGCTCCAGTGATTTTTCAGCATTTTTTAGCCATTGTTCTGCCCTAAATCTATGATCATCTATTTTTGGATTATATCTCACAAATCAGGTAACATCATCATCTTCTTTTATCGAGTATGATGAGTATCATCAACCTAAACCAACTTTTGAGGTCATACTGAATTTCTTCTATTGCCAACATCTCCAACTCTCCAAGACCAGTTCATCTAACTCATGTATACTTTTTTTGTTAGATTTAATCGTATTGTTTAATTCCTGGTTAGAAGTTAGTTAGTTTAGATTTAAATTTTAAAAAGAAAAGGGGCAATAATGGGTAGTTATTTCTAGAAGCTATAGGTAGTTATTCCTAGAAGTTGTATTAGTTAGTAATAGATGTGTTGATTAGTACCAATAGTTGTGTTGGTTGCTGTCTATAAATACTCCAGGAACATAGAATTTCTGTATGTAGTTCACAATAAAAAAAATCAGAATTCTATTCTGCATTTGATTTGTTCTTCCTATTATTTTTTCCAACAATTGGTATCAGAGCGTATGAGAAAAGGGAGATCTGCCAGATCGTATAACGGAGCATTAGAGACTTCCTTGACAACAAATCAAAATCTTCAATAAGATTCTTCCTCGCCTAGGACAAGAATAGCAAGTGGCTATTTTTTCCTTTGGCAGAAGCATTCCAACCAAACAGTCCGGGAAAAATGAATTAGCGGGGTAGCTTTCGTTTAGTGGCTTGGAAGACGGAAAAACAACGACTTGTCTTCTGGTTGATGGTCGATTGCAGGTGGCTTACGACCCATGAAGGAATCAAAGTCTAAGAATTTTGTGAAAATTGTCATAGGAATTAAAGTCGTACAATGGAAGACAATAGACAGATTGTGACTACAAGGGAGAATTGTTCACTATCTTTTACGGTTCCAATTCTTACTGCTACAAACTACCCTATTTGGGCCGTGAAGATCAAAGCAATTAATGTTAATGGGATTTGGGAGGTGATCGAACCAGGAACAGAAATTGATCCAAAGAAGAACAATATGGCAATAGCATATCTATTTCAGGCTTTGCCGGAAGAGATCGTGTTACAAGTTGCTCAGTTTACCGAAGCAAAAGAAGTTTGGGATGCTTTGAAGACTCGCTTCGTTGGTGTTGACAGGGTTAAAGCGGCGCGATTACAGACACTTGAATCAGATTTTGAGACTCTAAAGATGAAGAACAATAAGTCACTTGATGATTTTGCTGGTAAAATTAGTCAACTTGCAACACAAGCAAACAACCTTGGGTCTGCATTTGAAGACAAAAGATTGGTTCGAAAGCTTTTGGGTTCTGTGCCTGAAAAGTTCATACAGATCGTTGCTGCAATTGAACAGTTTGCTGACATTAACACAATGTCGTTTCAAGAAGTGGTGGGAAGATTGAAAGCATTCGAGGAACGCATCAGAAAGCCAACTGAGGAAGGAGATACACATGGTAAACTATTATTCACTAAAGGTGATGGAAAAGAGAAGGTTCAGGAGCCCAAATGTGAGCATTGTGGTTGCTGGAGCTCGAACCGAGAAGACTTTGGACGTGGCCGAGGTAGAGGTCGGGGGTCCGGGAAAGGATGGTGGTCGGTTTCAGTGGGATAAGAGTCACATTAAGTGTTTCAAGTGCAATGAGTTAGGACATTTTTTGAACGAATGTCCAAAATGGGATCAAAAGGAAGACATTGCAAATTTGATTGAAGATGATGATGAACCAACATTATTGTGAAGATTGGTGTGAACAAACAAGTGAAACAACGATTAGGGGGTGATTGTTAGATTTAATCATATTGTTTAATTCCTGGTTAGAAGTTAGTTAGTTTAGATTTAAATTTTAAAAAGAAAAGGGGCAATTATGGGAAGTTATTTCTAGTCTAGAAGTTATAGGTAGTTATTTCTAGAAGTTGTATTACTTAGTAATAGATGTGTTGATTAGTACCAATAGTTGTGTTGGTTGCTGTCTATAAATACTCCAGGAACATAGAATTCCTGTATGTAGTTCACAATAAAGAAAATCAGAATTCTATTCTGCATTTGATTTGTTCTTCCTATTATTTTTTTCCTACATTTTTTACTCTGGTACTTCCAATTATTTCTTTAAGACCAGTTCATCCACTGAAGCTCACTCCATGTGCTCGGTCTTAGTCATGTTCATTCTAAAACCTTTGGATTTCAAGGTCTCGCTCCACTCCTCCAACGTAGCATCGAGCCTCTCACTTGTCTTGTCAATTAGAACAATGACATACACAAATAGCTTGCGCCTAAGTACCTTCTGTTGAATGTATCAAAACATCCACCACCCAGGCAAACAGTAAAAGATTAATAGTAGACCCCTCATGTGAACCCATCTTTACTGGGAAGTGGTCTGAGTCACCTCCAACCAATCTCACCCTGGTCCTTCCTCATCATAATATCCTTAACAACTCATACGTAGGCAACTCTCTTTCATTTAGGCAACTTGATAAGATCTCCCTAGAAAGTCTGTACTGTGCCTTCTCCAAGTCAATAAACATCACATATAGGTCCTTCTTCCTCTCCCTATAGTGCTCCATCAGTCTCCTCAAGAGGTGAATGGCCTTTGTGGTAGGCCGACCAAGCATGAAAGCAAATTGATTCTTGGAAGTGTTCACCTCCTTTTGCAGCCTTGCCTCTACTACTCGTTGTCACACCTTCATGGTGTGACCGAGTAATTTGTTGCCTCTATAACTAGTGCAGTTCTGGGTATCAGCCTTGCCCTTATACAATGTGATCACCACGCTCTCCCCCTTCACTCGTTAGGCATTTTAGTCGTTTTTGAAAGTAACACTAAACAACCTGGTGATCCACATTATAACCCATCTCTGTTCATGATCTTTTCAAAACTCCACCTGGATTTCATCCAATCCCAAAGCTCTACCCCTTTTAATCTTCCCAATAGTTTTCACCACCTGTTTCTGTGTCTACTGGCCCGACAGTACCTAAAATCTTTGATGACTATGAGACTGCCCAGCTCACCTTAAAGTGGACACTCATCGGTCTCTAGCCTTTGTTAAATCCATCAAGACATTTTCATCTTCTTCTTTAGACCTTTAGCACCCCTCACTTGGTCCAGATCCCGTGCCTTGCTCCTTCGCTCTCTTCTAGGTATCTACAGGGACAGACGTTACAGGTTATGAACGATGGCAAGGACCACATTTCTGTTATTTTTGCTCTTGATGTGCCAGATTTTTTGAAGCTAATGATAGTATATTAGGATGTATCTCTAAGTTATCTATTTCAATGTCATAATGGCTATTTCAACATTCAAATCATGATAAATTGGGTTCCAAGTTCATTTGCAAAAAATCATGATAAATTGGGTTCCAAGTTCACTTGAACTAAGATATCAATTGACTGAGTAACTATGGAAGTCCCATCTTTTGCTACATCAATTCATTCTTAGGTGGTCATTTCTATAGGGGATGGTGAGCTGATATTATGCTTTTGAAGTTTTGATTATCGTTTTCCATCATCTTCGATGGAGCCAAAATTTCACCATTTTTTGGTTTTGGGGTGTGATGGAATAAATCAAAATGGGTGTGATGGAATAAATCAAAATGGATCTCTAAACTGTTTGCGCTTCTTTAATTAATGAAGTAGCAATTAGTCAAGCAATGCAATTTTCGACGTTGAGCCGGGGGTCTCTTTGGAAACAGCCTCTCTACTTTCGAGTAGGGGCAAGGTCTGCGTACACACACCCTCCCCAGACCCTACTCTTGTGGGATTTAACTGGGTTGTTGTTGTTGTTGAAGTTTTGATTATCGATGTTTCATCTTATCCTTGATTTTGAATGCAGGCATACCCACAAGAAAAGGTTGGTGTGTTTGTGCGACGAGGCAAAGGTGGGCCTCTCTCCGTGGTTGAATATAGTGAACTGGATCCACAATTGTCAAGCGCAACCAACCAGGAAACTGGCCGTCTTCGTTTTTGTTGGAGTAATGTTTGCTTGCATATGTTCACTTTGGATTTCCTGAATCTAGTAGCAAATGGACTTGAGAAAGACAGCATCTATCATCTCGCTGAGAAGAAAATAGCTTCAATCCATGGGCATACAATGGGCTACAAACTAGAGCAGTTCATATTTGATGCTTTTCCTTATACTCCTTCAACAGCACTCTTTGAGGTTGATTGATTTTGACATTTTTCCACGAATCACGCCTGCGATTTTTTTTTTTAACATTGCAAAGCCAATTGACACATTGATGATTCCTAACTCATTTTATCTATAGGTGCTGAGGGAAGAAGAATTTGCTCCAGTGAAAAATGCAAATGGGACAAACTTTGACACTCCAGATAGTGCAAGGTAAGGACTAAAATATCCCTCTCATCAATTACTATTTTTGCAATACTTCCTTTCTTGGGATCTTATCAAATCACATTTAAAAATCTATATGTTAGAAGCCTTTCCATTAGGAATTGTTTTAGGTATAATTCCTATAACCTTGATTGGGTTATTTGTAACTAGAGATTTACAGTACATGTGTGGTGATCTGTTTGACATTTGATGAATTTACATCTCCTTTTTTTTATTTACCTTACACTATGTTTGGTTCGTGGAATTCGAAAGGAGAAGAAAAGAAAATGATTTTCTCTCAATTTTCTCATCAAAATGGAAGGAAACCTCTTTTCCTTCTCTTTAGTTCATTTCTTCTTATATTTACTCTTCCTTCTCTTTAGTTTATTTCTTCTTATACTTACTTTTCCTTCGACTTTTGTTTTTTCTCTCTCTCTCTCTCTCTCTAACCAAATAAGAGAAACTATATTCCCTTTTATTTTATTTTCTTTTCCCTTTCAAACTTCTTGAACCAAACATAGTGTTAAAAACTTTAGATGTTGATTGAAATTCTTGATACTTTATAAAGGTTCATTCTTTCCTTTTGACGGAGGAATTGAGTGGTTCGCACAATTTCTATCTCTCACACACTTTCACCTTTATTTATAACGGTGCTCAATCAATTGTTGAATGTTATATCGGGAGGGATTGGAGGGAGTATTTAATAATAAAAGTTAATCAATATCCGCACTTATCAGTCAATATGTTCCCATAAATATTTTTCAAAACATTGGTTTCAGGCTGCTTGTTCTTCGCCTCCATACACGTTGGGTGGTAGCGGCTGGTGGCTTCCTAACACATTCAGTGCCCTTATATTCAACTGGTAAGTAGTTACTCGCTCTTTCTTTTGGTTATGTATAGGCTGGAACAAGAAGTTTGACTGACCCCTTCTCACTAATTTTCAGGGGTTGAAGTTTCTCCACTGTGTTCATATGCTGGAGAAGATCTGGAAGCCCTTTGCCGCGGCAGAACATTCCACGCTCCTTGCGAAATCTCGTTGTAGATTTATTTTTTCTTTTAAAGACAACATTTTGAACCAAACAATCAGGTTTTGAAGACATTCTTTCCCATTGCTCAATTTTTTTTGCATATTATATATAATGTTTGTACGACTTTTTCTTTTTCATAATTAATTTCAATATCAACTATACAATTTTGCTTATCCATGCCCCCCACCATGTGACGAAGGGAGTTAAAGATTGTAGGAGTACCTCCGTAACTTGAAATTGCAAGAATGTTTGGTTCATATTGTGGAATCAGAAAACCTTCTTAAAAAATCATACTCCTTTTGTCCAATATAAAAACTTATTTAAGAGTTGTGCTATCGTGGGTCCATGGTTGAATTTTCTTACAAGACTCATTACATACTAAAATTCAAAAAATGAATATGGACCTAAGAATCACGAAAGACATTGCTCTTATTTGAAGACCTCGGCAATATGTGTTATTGCTTTATAAGAGTAAGAAAAAGAAAATGCTCTTTGTCTTCAAATAAATTTTATAGTTATTAAGTGAAATTATATCTCATTTATTTACTTGTTTTTATGTACTCCTTCCGTCCCAGAGTATTTATCCACTTTCATTTTTACTCACCATCTAATACACTTCTTAAATCCATTTTATCTTGTAATTTGTATATTAAAAAATTATAGAAATTATATATTAATAATCTATATGTTAAGACAAATCAAACAAGATCACACATGACTATATTTAAGCTTACACATTGAGAGAATTTGATGAGTCAAAGTGCTTAGATGAACAGTTCCAAAATTTAAAAGTGGACGAATATAGCGGGACGGAGGGAGTATTACTTGTAGTACTTAATGATTTTAGTGTTATCACGTATTTTGTGTAGTTGATTTGCTCAGATCAGACGATAATTTTAATAGGTGTTAACAAGATAGTGCAAAGTGCACGCTCGTTCAGCAATATTATAAATTCCGTAGCGGGGTCTAAAGGATTGAGCCCATAGCTCGGGAAAATTTTATTTTGGGCATTGTTTCTTTATGAAAATCTTTTGAATTTGTGTTAACGATATTCAAAATAATGTATATTCAAATGTGTAAAGTCAAACATTTGAATGTAATATTTATTCATGTGTTCCGTACTAAAGGACAAAATACATTTGAATGTTTACTCTTAAGCATTCAAATGTTTTGCCACAAGATACGACGGTTCACACAAAAAAAATGTTGAAATGATATGCTTAACATAATTGCTGCATGCATTCAAAAGTTGTGGCCTAACATTCAAATGCTCTGCGTAAAATTGGGTTGTTTCATTAACAGACGCGTCCGATCAGTTTGCTCTATAAACATGGAGTCCTAGAGTATGTTTGAGTCACAACAAATCTTTCATGCTCATTCTAAATATGTGTTATTCAATTGAATTATATTAGTATACCCTGAAATAACTTTAATCTGAAAGCGATCATACGACTCGTTTAGTCCATCAAGTTTCTTCACATTCTTTCATATACCGGTTCTCCAACGATGTCTCGTAGCGTTATTATCCCTCCCAAAAATCGAACCGTGTATTGAAAAAGTTATATAGTTCTTAGATATCTAACTTTGTTTTTAAATTTTACACAAATAATTAAATAAAATGAATTAAAAATCATTATTGTCATGTATTGTTATACGGGTGTCAAGTTAATTTGAAGACGGGGAAAGCATCAATCATTTCTTAAAGTGATAATGCAAACTCTCCTGTTAAATGGGATAGAAGTAATCGGTAGTACTCCGTAGTATTCCTCGAACGGATTTCTAAGTTCTAATTAACTCCATTAGGGTTTTAAAGTAATTTGACGATAACTAAGTAATCCAAATTTATTTTTCACATTTTCTTTTACGGAGTAGAAAAAAAATATTACCTTCGTCCATTTGTCCAGTTTTGTCTTTTTTCAATCAATCATTTTCAACATTTGACCTTTAATTAAATAAAAAATACAGAGTATATTATATATTAATTAGATAAAATAATATTTTAATAATAGTTTATATAATAAATCTAATAAAATTATTTTTGTATTAATAGTATCATTTTTGTTTAACTTGGAATCAACGTTTACAAATTTTGACGAGAAAAAATCAAAACTGAACAAATACTCCGGTAGAGAAGAAGCATGAAGCATAGTACTTCATTTTTCTCAAATTATTTGTTCAATTTTGACTCTTTGCTGTCACAATTGACATGTTTTGACCATTGATTGAATAAGTTGATACACTATTAGATATTGATACATATTTTTTTATTGAACTCTTGTAAATTTTTAATTTATCTAATTAATACAGTATATAATTATAGTTTTTTTTAATCATAGAATTGATCCTGATTCACTCTAAAATGTTAGAACTTGACACACTACTACTACTTTTTAAATAAGTTCTAACCGTACCCATAATTTTTTCACATTTTTCCATTTTTTTGCGAGGGAGGGGATATATTACTCTTTAACTTCTTAAGTGCGCCGCTATTGGATGTACGAAAAACACAACATAACCGGTTGTATAACATATATTGCGCACAAAAGCAAAATATTTAAGATGAGAGGGCCAGAAGGGGGGGGGGAGAGATGGGGTGGAATTTCCACCAACTTCATCGGAGTATTCCGATGAGTGGCCCTTCTATTGCTGTGGTGTCGGTGGGATGAAAAAAAGATAGATACGGCGTACTATGCCCGGAGAAAAGAAGGAAGAATCTCCAATTGACTCCTATGAATTAATTCCTTGAGCATATATATTGTGTTCAAGTCATAGACCAATATGACTAAACTAGACACAGAGATTAAGGGAAGGGAAAAAAACTATGCAGTTAAGATTTATGAATTAGGAGAAGAAAAAAACAATGTTAACCACATAATGGTTGCTGTAAACAGAAACATACATCAAGAAAGCTCATTCCTGGCAAAAAGAAAAAGTGGGTCACGAAGTAAATAGGATACATTAGAGGTAGACAAAGCAAAAATACCACAATCTGAAAGTCTAATCTTGCAACCTGAAGAATCAGCAGTATGGCGATACCCCAAGCAGTGGCTTCAAGCCAGAGAGTTGAGTAGCTAGAAAATTGTAAACCGATTCGGTCGTTTCCGATGCTATCCGAGTAACAACACCTATATCCTGCAAAACAGTAACTAAAAAGGAAATAAACAAAGATGGGAAGACGGGTCTCTTGCTATTGCACACACTTTTTCACCTTCCAAAAAAAAATTGTTTGCGTGCCAAATTTAGGGGTTCTCTGATACCTTTGGACCAAATGTGCTGCAAGAAGTGATAAAAGTTGGTTTTGCCAATCTGTGCTTATTTTCGCACTGTCCCGACGGCCTAAATGAAGGAGCATGTAATCTTTTAGACATCATTGTCTTCACCTCTTCCACAATATGGTTTTGGATATGTTTCAACTTTGGACTGAAAGGTAGCACCAGTAGTAGTGTGAAAAAGGGTGATGAAAGAGTTCAAGTGTGTGATGGGAGTATATGCTTCCTCTGTTCCATATTAAACTTCACAATTCACGGAGTTTAAGAAACAACAACCGAGTTGGATCTCACAGGTCGCGGAGTTTAAGAAAAGTGTTAAAAAGTGGGTGGTTAAAATTTGGTTTTAGGAGAGGGAGAAACATGGTGAGCCACATATTCCGTTCTTTAAAAGGAAAGGAAATGGGTGAAGTGTGAAATTTCTTCCGGAATAACCAAAAAAAGGAAGTGTGAGTTTTATTTCGAGAGGGAGGGAGTTTTGCTTGGCTTCACTTACCCCACAAGTATGAGCATTGCAAAAACTTGGTAGTCTCCCATGCGCTCCGCAATACTGCTCATTCCTTTTTCAAGCATTAACTGCACGAGATTTAGACAAAGACAATATACAAGCATTGCATCACATAAATAAAAAAAGAAAACGCTATTTTTCTTTCAAAGAAATATTAAGGAGATGGGAGAAGAAGAGATAACTGTATCAAGGAACAAAGGCACATCCCCATCCAAATATATGTTGTTTGTGCTCTTGTAAAGATCAAAATCCCATTTTTCTCCTCTTTCGTGCCGGCCGCTGGTTATCCAGTCGACCAGAACCAAGTTCGAGTCTGGTGAGATTCTAAAGACTTGCCTCTGAGAATACTTTGCAGTGCAAAAACATGTCACTGGATCCGGAATCACAGCCAATAGAGAACTGCTTCCCACTCTTGCCTACTGCATGCACGCCAGCCAACATTACTAAGAAAACTTCTTTTTTTCGTCAAAACTAAGAAATCTAAATAAACACAAATTTTCAAAAATTAATCAGATTTCACTTTCATTTCCAATTTCAATAGCAAAAGAAAACATTAAAAACTAACTTCCCAATGTTGAACCATTACCTCCAAGAGTTGCTCCGAACACTTTGATTCAACAGATTTATACACCTGCACTCAGGGCATAGAAATTTGCCATGAATACCAACAGAAAACAAAAACAGGGGGAAAAAAATCTCGCTACAATGGCCACTCAACAGAGCACATAATGAAACTTCATGGATATAGCCTTTTAATTATTTTATAAATGATTGATATGAAGAATGAAAGACTTGACCTTTGTCGAGGCTTGTGTGGTCAAAACAGCCATGCAGCCATCTCCCACTGTAAAAAGACATGATATACAGTCTCCCTGATTGCACCATAAGCATTACAAACGAATGCAGATTAATGGCCAACAAAAACTGTTTGGGGTGCTAAAAAGAGAAGGGACTTTTTCCATGTAAAATATTAACAAAAAGTTAAATACAATCAATCTAGGTAAAACAAAAAAATACAATTCAATAAAATAAGGGGGTGTTTGCAAGGGGGTGATCGGAGAGATTTTTTAGGAAAATGATTGGTGAAACAATTGCTAGAAGTGTTTGGAGAACAACTTTTTAGTACCAAAAAGTTGAATTGCAGAAAGCTTGTTTTGGAGATACTCGTAGTTCTTTTGGGACTACAACTTTGTAAATTAAGAGCCCCAGAGAGTTCACTCAGACAGTTCATATTCCAAATACTCCAACGTTGTTTCTCTCCTAAAAAACTGGCCTAAATATCTACCAAAACAACTTACACAAAGTCACAAACAACTAGGAGTTGGGGGCCAGGTAGAGCCTAACTAGGATTTCATGATTTATATAAGTTGTGCAAATTGACCAATTTTAAATAGAGTAAAAACTAGACAAGACCCTTATTTTTAGAAGGGAGATTGGAAATTTTAAACAGAAGGAGCAAGAAGAAAGGCATACAGAGACAATGCCCCCTCCATAGGTGATGGTGTAAATCCAGACAGCGTCAGTTTGTGAAGAACCCACCTTCAAGAACACAAAATTATTACTAGTATTAAAAAAACAATCAGATAAAATGTTATTAGGAGAGCCACATCTGCTAAACCTAAATCGCCTAATTTTTAAGGGTTTTAACTAACCTTCTTAGGTATGATGAATTTCAGAGGATATTTGGCGAAGCACCGAGTGACGACAGACTTTCCTCCCACTCTTTCCACCACTACCTTCCCTGTTTCCATTTATTCTATTTCTAGGAAATGAAAATGGCCACTGCTTGGATAAATTCTTCGAGACTCAAGAATTTCTCTCCCTTTCTCTCTCTCTTTTTTTTTTCTCGGAAAAGAATAAAATTACTAAAATATTCTTATGGTTGTTTTTCTTTATTTGTTTAGGATGTATTTATATGAAATTATCTTTTGGGTCAAAAGATTTATTTAAATTAAAGAAAAAATTAGTATGGACTAGATGCATAAGATGAATCTGAAATAGAATTATAGAAAAAATTAGTATGGACTCAATCTAATAGAATTATAGAAAACGTAGTACTAAAAAATGCACAATTATAGAGAAAAACAGGGGAAAAAACCCAGAAAAAACACAAAAAAAAGAACAGAAAAAAAACCAAAAAAAAAAAAAGAAAAAGAAGATGAGAAATGAAAACTGAAAAAAGGGAAACAAAAAAAACGAAAACTGAAAAAAAAAGTGAAAGAAAGCTGGAAATTGAAAAAAAGTGCAAATTGTAGTATGCAAAGGAAATTAAAATCTGGAAATTGAAATTTGAAAAAAGTGAAAATTGAGAGCAGAACGAAAAAAGTGAAAAAAAAAATCTGGAAATTGAAAAAAAAAGTGAAAATTGAAGTGCAAAAATAGTGAGGAGATGGCTATAGAAATGGAAGAGTATAGCAGAACAAAGAAAGTACGGAGTATGTAAAGCTTATCTGAATTGAGCAGCGAAGGAGCATATGGCGATCGAAATTGAAACAAAAAAAATTAACTACGCAGCGGAATTGAAGATTATGGCGGAGCAGAGCATATCGAAAAAAAAGTGAACATTGAACCAGACAAAGATGACGATCAGAATACCTTTGGCGATCGCGATGGGAAGATGCCGATTGATTTTCGTGCGATTGGGTGAAGGGTAGCGGATAGTTGATTACCTTATTTAGCCAAATTGGCCTCATCTAAAATCCATTCTTAACCTTACCTCCATCTACCTCCCTGTACCTCACTCACTTACATATCAATTTTTGTTACCAAGGTAGAATATTAAATTTACTTTCCTCTACCTCCTCCTACCTCCAAACAAACACAGTCACACAGTGTAAATCTTACTAGTATTGCATTGCATTGGTCATATTTATGTCACTTAATTAAAATAAATTTTGAATGATAGGAAATGATATATAATAAAATATAAATAGTTTATTATTTTAAAATACAAAATTTTTTTGTTTTACACATTTTGAAAAACTTCTGTATAAACTACATTGTTCATTCAATTTGTGAACATTGTCTTCGCTGCATATCAGAATTTTCAAGCCACCACGATTTATTACTCTTAAAATTTCAACATAAAATTGTCCATGACTAAATACTGGTTTCCATAATTATATTCCCACGTGTTTCAGAGATTGCCAATGACATTATAAAATTTTGTAATTGACACTTCTTCTAAAATATTAAAAACAACCGTTAGACTTAATTTTTTGTGTCAACTATTTTCAAATTTATATTGAAATAATATAATAATGACACCATTGTATAGTCTAGGTTTCACCATTTGCATCACCAAAATTGGAGGTTATGATTCCATTTTGTTGAAACCATCAATCAGCAAATATAAATGATCTGCCCACGATGTACAATTTAACCAAATTCCTCCACGTATTAAAATTTAAATATAAAATATTAATGATTCACAAAGTAAGATTATTAATACATCAGAATGATACTTTATGATTAGATCTAATCAAATTTGTATATAATGTATTCTTAGGAAAAAATCATGAATATATGAATATAATTTCTCACATACTTGTGGTCCTCCAATGTAACTTCCATCATTTGCTATGGTGCCTATTTTACCATACGAATTTTGGGGGAGCTTCGACTAACAACCTTCCCAATTACATCTGCAAGTAATGAAATATAAGACAAATATATTAACTATACATTATAAAACATGCATATCCAAAGATCATTTGACGCTACTAATTCAATCATCAACGTCGGGCGATTATGGTCACCCCGTTGAAATTGGCCCTTCGAAAACATTAGGTAGTCCCCCCACTCCTAGTGCATACAACCAATGCTACCAAGCAATCGTGAGAAGTCATGCATTTCCTCATAAGCTTAGTATATTTTTCGAATGTCATTTCATGACGGTTTTTGCAAATATTTTTCACCTAATAGTGCCATCACACCTTCCATATAATCGGAATTAAAATTTTACACTATATATATTCGGGATAAAAATTAATTATAACAAATTAAAAATAGGAACACAAATGTACCTTTGCAAAATTTGTAAAGTGTATCACGACTTGTTTTTTCAGACATCTTTAAATGTTCATCCCAAGAATCAATACTCACACCGTAAGCCAACTACCGAATTGCAAATGTACACTTTTGTAAATACGTAAATCCAAGTTTACCTCTACCGTCGTAATGTTGTTGGAAGTATTGAAAATTCACTTGCAAGTCATCAACAATTCGACAAAAAAGAAGTTGGCTCATCCAGAAGCGTTTGGAAAATGTCAAGTCGTTATACGTTGGCTCGAGAGAAAAACAATATTCAATGATACATTGGTTTGCGCCTGCACGATCTCGATTGATTCAGATTCATTTTCTAACGATCATATCTTCCTCATTTTGCCTCAAACTCACAATAATACGAATCAAGGTTTGGACTACTTCCATAAATATTTCTTCACCACTAGGCAAATAAAAAAAGAGTGAACAAATTATTCATCTTTTAGTATAATAGAAAAGGGAAGAGAGATAAAATTAAGACAGGAGTGTTTTAAAAAATATAAAGATTTGATGGTTTAAATACAAGAGAGGGGGAGTTGGGTTTGAAATCTGAAGAAAGGAAAGAAAGCAAAAAAATGATTTTTGGGTCACATGGACCGCTTCAAAGAAGGAAATAAAAAAAATGAAATGTTCGGATGACGTGATTGTGACTATGGTTGCCCTCTCGGGTCGTGGCCACGAGGGGAGGGGGCNGTATTACGGACAATCTAACTGGTAATTCATGTGGTTGAGTTGATGCACTTCTTTTACCTCTCGCTGACAAACCAAGTTCCTATCCCCCTTCTCGCCTTCCCCGTGTCCCTTTTTTTCTTTCTATTTTCCACTAGAGTTACATTCATATACTCCCTCCGTTCCACTTTAGATTACAATATTCCCGAAATTAAGGAAGCGTCAACTCAAAAAAAAATTCCCCAAATTACCCTCCAAATCCTCCCAAATAGTGTGAATAGTGGCTGACAGAAAAGAAAAGAGAGGGTAAAAGAGTCAAATCATTATAAAGTCATTGACTTTGTAATCTTTTTTGGGACAAAAATGTGAGGGAATATTGTAATACATTTCGGGATGAAGGGAGTATAGTTTTTGTGGTGTTATATAAGTGGGTAAATAATCCTCAAAATTTCAATAGTTGTCAAATAGTCCCTGTGGCAAAAAAACCATAACATAATTAGTCCCTATATATTAAAAAATTCTTAAAATGTACACAACACCCGTGTATTATGTAAAGATGTCAATCATGTAACAGTAAAAAAACTAATCTGAAATTTTAGTTGTGATGTGTCCTTTGAACATAATACAATATCTTTTATCTTTTAGTTTAACTCTTAGAACGAATTCCACGTCTCTTCTATAGTGATATTGTTGAATCGCAGTACAATGTCCTATATGAACTTGATATTATTCTATTTTCAAGTATTTTTATTCTAAGGTAATATCATGTGAGAAAAACGCTAGAAAAAAATTATTCCATGTCTTTAACCACGAAATCGAGGACAATTTCATGAGATTAACTTCTTTTTTTGTTACATGCTTCAGATTTTCACACATTGTGCTTATGTTCTGTGTACTTTATATTTTCCTTAGAAAAACTAATTATACATCAATTCTTTGATCAGTGAAATTTTTGTTCAATTTTTAAAAGTAAAAAGAGAGGAAAGACCAAAGGTACTACTTCGTATTTGTATATGTAACTCTTTCCACAATTGGCAAAACGAAAACGTTTTCGTTAAAGCCATTAAGTTAAAGGCATATCACTCGTTTTGCCAGTCGGACGAGTGAATCCGCCGAATTCTTCCACATACGTCCAACCCAACCTAAGGTATCTCTTCTTCTTCATCTTCTTCGATTCATAATATTAAAACATTTTCAAATATTCTCAAAGAAACATTATTGTTTTCAATTACAATTAGTACATGTCTTAGAGGGTCGAAATTCCTAATCTGAAACACTACTCCACAGATCATCTATCACTATTATTTTAGAAAATGTGTATAAAACACCACTCTACAGCTTTTGATTTCATGCTTTAGATGAGTATTTGCTGTGTTATACTCCCTCCGTCCATGTATGATTTTCCCATTACGCGTTACGAGGCTTGACCGACTTTATTTTCAATTCAATTTAATTGATTATAGGAGTAAAATTTTAAAATAAAATTTATATAGTAATAAACTACATGAAAAATTCTACAAAACTAGAGGTGACAAGACTATATTATTTTATGAAATGACTAGTAAAATTGAGTAAAGTTTGACCTTGTGAATAGTGTCTGGGAAGATCTATGGTGGACAGATGGAGTACTTGTTTTCAGCTTTGCAATTTTCTTCTGATTGTATATTTTCATTTCAATGACTGAGTCGACTGCATTCTTTTAAATTGTGTGTTTGCCAGTGTTTTTTTATAATTTTAGGAGGATCTATTCTATTAACTGTTAAGAGAAGCGTAAAGATTTGGTTGGTATTGGATTTTTGAATTGGTGGTATGATACAAACATTTCGGTACACACCAAAATGAAAAAAAGGGACAAACAATATGGAATGCAGGGAGCATTATAAATCTGAATATTTTCATAATACTTTGGTGAAAAGTGAAAGTTTTTAATTTGATTTATACAGAGAGGATGAGCTGTTTTCACCTTTCCATTCTTAGTTGGGATAGATTTCAAAAATCTTGGATTTTGTTTTTGGGAACCACAATATAGCTACCCATATCATTTTTCAATGCAAAATTAGTAAAATTTAAATAAACTTATAAGTTATAATGAAACTTGAGACTGTCCTCAAGGCAAAACCTTACCAACCCTTTCTCCCAGTAAGTTTACATTTTCTCCTCAGTCATTTTGCATAGAAAATTGTCGAAAGAAACTGCATTATTATACACTCCCTCCGTCCCAAAATGTAGGTTGATAGGTTATTGTCGGAGTTGGAGCAAACTGCCAAGCTTTGATTATTAATTTCTCTAAATTGACAAAGTAAATTTGTCGGTCAAAGTTTATGCTGAAAAATAGCTTCATAATTTTAATTTGTTTATGATGAAAAAGAGTTTCATAATTTGTAAATTTTGGAGTAAATCACTTTTGACTATGTATTTCAAGAGAAATTAATGGTCAAAGGCCGGCATAGTTTAGGACAACATTTCGTAAAGGATCAACATTTAGGGATGGAGAGAGAATAAAATAGATTGATGAATTTGGATTCAAATACGTCCAAACAAAATTCTAGTTTTCTAACACCTGGAACTTTTATGTAGTATATGGTGTGAAGATCTGATATTTTGTGCATTTCTTCAATGGTGTATCCCCAAGGTGTATTTTTGTAGTATAAAATGTGAATATGAGATTAAAATTATCTGGGTAGTCATGGATTATAAGGTACACACAGAAATAAGTAAAATTTACTTGTATGTGGATGCTAATAGTACAGCAACACTTTGTGTGGTATCTTATGATCATATCTGTCACTGAAGTGTTTAATTTTTCTTCCACAAAACCTGAAAAGTATGATTTACATTGTTATCATATATTTTTTTAGCATATTAGCTTTTGACCTCATATTAAGGATGGGCTTTGATGTATATTTCTCTTCAGAAGTTGAATTGGCTTATGATTGCATAAATTCTTTATTGGTTTCTGGATTCAACAGGGGTTGATTTGCTGCATGAGAGGGAGCAAATAGATGGTTATTTATTAGTCATCGATTGCATAGTGTAATAGTGTAATGAGTTTGGCTTCACAATTAAGGCATCGTTTGCCTCATGTACTCTTAAGACATCCTATTCTGTACAATGCAACTGCACAATATCCTGCTGCCAGGTGGACTCGGAACTTTGCTCAACAAAGTGCCAGGAAAGAGGAAGAAGAAAATGAAGGAGTTGAGATCGACCAGAGAAGGCTCCCAGCCGATTATGACCCTTCAACATTTGATCCAACAGAGCATCGCAGTCCTCCAACAGACAGAGTGTGGAGGCTTGTTGATGAAGTTTCCGGGCTCTCACTGCTTGAAGTAGCAGAGCTGTCTGGGATTTTGATGAAGAGGTTTGGTTCTGTGGTGGGGGTAATGTCTATGAAGAAGGGTCCCACAGCCGGAGCAGCCGAGGAAGAAAAGAAACCCGAGAAGACTGTGTTTGAGCTAAAGCTAGAGTCTTATGATGCTGCTCAAAAGATCAAGATTATCAAGGAGGTCCGCGGTGTCACTGATTTAGGCCTCAAGGAAGCAAAGGATTTGGTGGAGAAGTCGCCTGCAATATTTAAAAAGGGTGTGTCAAAGGAAGAAGGAGAGCAGATAATTGAGAAGTTGAAAGCAGTTGGGGCTAAAGTTGTCATGGAATGAAACCTTAAGTCCTTAACCAACCAATCAACATTTTGTTTTTCAAGTTTTAGCAATTTCATGCATTCCCTCCACTGCTGAGAATTCAGAAATAATTTTATATTTCACTAGCATTCTTGCAAGTTGCTTATGAATTGCATATGTGCATTGTTCAAACTAATGGCAGGTGACCCTTGAGAAGTTTTGGCTTATGAGTAGTAGTAAACTATGTGCATTCCACCAAGCCAAGGTGTGTGATGCTTCATTTGGTTTTATGATGTGAAAATGTTATGGGCAAATTCATATAAATTCTTCATTCTGTATAACTTGAGTTATTAAAACAAGGATTCTGGCTCTTTGTTTTTGTCTAGACCTATTTCCAGTCTTTGTAAGGGATGATGGCATCGTCCACCTTTTATTTGATGTATTGATGTTTTTTTAAATTATGTATTCAAATGGTTGGTAATTTGGCATTTATTGGCGTCTTGGTGCAAGAATCTAGTGAAAGAAAGAAAAGGAGAAAAAAAGTGAAAGCAAATAAATTTGTTAGGTTTTATGTATTGTTATTTACTGTTCGTTTCATTTGTTCCCAAAAAATTTCATTGCTTGACCTTTAGGGAGTAAGAAAATTTTTTATAGTTAGAATTTATTTATGGAAGAGAAGAATTATGGGTTATTTATTCTTTATTTTAAATACAAATGATTTTTTTTTGGATGAATGAAAAGAAAAAGAAAATACTCCCTCCGTCCTAATTTAAATCGCCTGTTTTGGTTTATGATGTTTGACCGAAGTTATTTTCAAATCATTCCTATGTAAAATGCTGTAGAATTAAAATATAAAAATTATATATTTAAAAACTAACATCAAAATATCTACAGAATTAGTGATGACATGACTATTATTTTATCAATTGACTAATGAAAAAAAAATCGAAATAGTTTTATCCTGTAAATAGTAAATAGATAATTTAATTTAAGACGAAGAAAGTATTTTATAGGATAGGATAGAAACCCTACATTTTGTGTGATTCTAGTGGACTTGTTGTAGAGATTTATTTAGAAAGGTGGTATGATCAATATTTTCCATTATATTGATGGGTCTTGCCTATTTTATGTATGAGCCAAAGATGTTAGAATATAAAATCTTTTATGGACTTATAATAAGAAAATAGTACTACATAATTAAAAAAATCATATTCGTACTATCCTTAAAATGAAATCCCTTTCTTGAAGTTTTGTTCTTTCTGATCTCTTCCTCTATCTGAGAAGGTATATGGTACAACCGATTGTACCTAGAAATAGATACATCCGGGTGGTACTCATTCTCGCACAAACATAACTATTCATTTTGAAATAGCGTGATACTCATTTTGAAATAACGTAGTACTTATTCTGAAATAATGTAGTACTCATTTTTACACATCTATTTCATACAATTATAAAATTCATCTACGAATAACGTAGTGTTCATTCTGAAACAAAGTTATACTCATTCTCAACTAAAGTACTGTTCATTCCCCAAACACTGAACTATTTTGAAATAAGTTTCTATATCAGCCCCTTACCCCATAAACTATTCGATCTGGTTTACAATCACTTTCCCCACTATCACATCACCATCACCTTTGCCACCATCATCTTCACCATCACCTTCGCCTATCTGCTCCCCGCCCTCCAATTGCTCTGTACTGCCTTCGTTTTCCGATCAGACGCACCTAGGGTTTGACTCGACCGCGCTGCTCTTGATCGCTAATTTTTGCCAGCTGTACAGTTCTTCACGTACAGTCGGCTGTAGGATATAATTTGCGCCTTTAACTCACTTCTTTTATTATTCTTTATTCTAATTTCGCATCCTAACCATCCCCCCATTGGGGTTAGGGTAGTCTTAGGAACGATGATGACATATAAAAAAATGGTAAACATCTCTTCTATGGGTAGTTGTTGATTAACCATGCAACATTAGAATTGTGTTCTTAACAATAAAAAATTTCTTCGATCCACCAAACGAGTATGATCTTGAAATATAAAAAAGTTTGTTATTTCTCAAAAGCAATTGTAGTTTTATTATTGAAATGCATGAATTCCACTTGATATACGGAATAAAATATAGCTTGTGCTTCAAGTGTTTGATGATGTTAATGTTTTCTTTTGTGAGCATATAAATATTGTTATTTGCTTTTAAAATGATGAAATTAATCCTACTATTTTGCATGATATTAACGCTCCTATGAAAGAAATATGATTTCTTTTATACCCGCGTTGCGAAAAATTGAGCATTTTAAAACTTTTACGTAATATGAATACAAAATTAATTTCCAACTACTAGCCCCCATTGCTCTTCCTTCCCGAGACTACCTCATGTTATACCCGAAAGTTTAAATATGTATGTAACTCCGAAGAATATACTCCGTAGTTGGCATTACAGGGTAACACATAATTCTTTAGCCGTTAAGTCGCTCGCGAAACACTGAAACTGAAACATGGTGAGATCATTTGTTCGCAACCCGACTATAAAACTTCTTTAGTATAGCTTCCCTTATGGTTGGTGTCTCACATAGTTTAAAAAAAGAACAAAATAAAACATGATGCTCAAGAACTCAAAATTGTCTACTGTAGGATACAGCTAAAAAGGACCTAGGGAGAGGGGGTTGGTGTGGGAGACCAGACCTACCCTTGTCTTGCCCAAAAAAGTTAAGGAGCATGTTCATAGTCTAAAGAAGTCTCCCAAAGACCCTCTGAACTGCCCTTCCCCAGGAGCAAGACACCTCTAGATCTGACATTAGTGCTTAAAGTGCCTTACACCGGTAAAAAGCAGGGTCACGCCGTACTTGTTACAACAATCGATGGCGTCCTTGTCCCTGATGCTCCCTCCTGGTTCTGCAATTACACTAACTCCACTTTTGCATGCTTCCTCTACAGCATCGCCCCATGCTGGTGATCCATAACCAAAACAACCACACGAAGATTAAAAATTAGTGGCGATAACCCAAGTTTATAGTAACAACGTTGGTTCACTATTGCCAAGCCACGAACCCACAACTCTCATCCGTGTGGGCTGGCCCATTATCCCCCAATGAGTTCGTATATAGAGTATATTCCACAAAAAGAGTGACTCATGTTCCACAAAACAAACATCCCTTCCTAAGAGCGTTTATTCATGAGGAAAGAAGTAAAAGATTCTTGTATTTTAAACGGTGTCAAAAGAGTGTTTACCAAAAGGAAAGAAAGCATCACTGGCCAACGTAGCTCCCTGGACTTGTTCACCTGCTTTCCTTAATGCAATTCTTAGACTCTCAAGACGATTCGGTTGTCCACTCCCCATACCTAGCATGCGATTGTCCTGCATCATAAAACACCTTAATTACTACACTAGTGAAGGAACTACTTCACTATTTCACATTCAATGCAAAATGATAATTAACCGCCTCTAAGTGAGTGAAATAAGACCTTCGCTATCACAATCGCATTGCTCTTCACATGCTTGACACATAGCCATGCAAACTGGGCATCACTAAGCTCACTTTCTTGAGGTGTCTTCCCAGAAGAAACTACATCAAACTGAATGTTTTCTGGGGTTTTATCATCTGATGCCTGAGCTAACCAACCCCCACCAACCTGCCTAAGTGAGAGCTTTCCCTTATTGTTTTTAAGAGCCTCCAGAATTCTCAAATTCTTGGACTTTCCACGTAGAACCTCAAGACCTCTTTCTGTATATTTTGGTGCAACAACTATCTCATAAAACATCTTAGTTTCACCATCTGTTGGACTTCTGAATTCTCGAATATCGTTAGCAAGACCCTGTCAAGATATAAAACAAAGAGATATGTGTTCCCGTCGGTATATATGAACTATCGAAATACAGTCAAATACCTAACAACCTTGTTACCTCATCAACCTCCACATTGAAGGCAACTATACCGCCAAAGGCACTAATTGGATCTGCTTTGACTGCAAGCCTATATGCTTCGATAATATCACTTCTTGAAGCCACACCACAAGGGTTTGTGTGCTTCACAACTACGCATGTCGGTTTATCAAACTCACACACACAATTCCAAGCTGCATCAGCATCTAGATAATTATTATATGACATCTCCTGCGTTTAGAAAGCCATCATCATTAGTCTACTACAATTTTTTACCACAAAAACTCTGACATAGAACATCATGGCAATTTCGGCCAGACATAATGGAATCAAGAGACAAGCCAGAAGAAATGTTAGGATATGCCTGGTGCATGCTAGCTATATTAGAAAAGCATAGGCTTGAAGTGGGAAATACTATTTGTTTCATACAGTACTAAAAGAGGACCCTAGTACATATATTCAACAAAAGATTAGTGTGTGTGCGTGTGTGCGTCTGGAAGGGGGGCCACTAATAATATACAATACATGTGAAACTAGTGTGTGTGTGTGTCATTTTTTGACAGCCGAGTTATGTTAGAAACTGCAATTTTAATTCAGCTTTAAAATGAACAGCACAGCAAGTTCAAAATAATAGTTTGGCCACATGTGTAGGTTCCATTTAAGAATCTAGACATTAAGGCCTGTCCACATTATATTATTAGTCCCTGCTGTAGGCAGGATGCGCGCAAGGCGCAGGGAAGGCACATCAAAGAAGTTGAGTCGAGCTATGAAAAAAAGATGCGCCTAGGCACACATTAAAACCTTATGCACAGAAGGTATGGCATGCCTCGATCAGACAATGTCTTATCTTAAATTACGAAATACAAAAAATCCCTTCTAGAGTAAATAAGACTGATTGTTTAACCATATCTACATTACTTTCTCTATCCTCCAATCAATATTTATGGCTTCACAATTTTTATTAAGTTCTTAGATCAACCTTTTCTCTGCCCCTATGCCTCTCCCTCAGTCAACTTATCATTTAACAGCCCACTTTAGAACCTCCTAGCCTCCGCTCCTTCTCTACTATAATTATAATTATATCCGTAATAATTACTGGAATAATGAAAAAAATGTTATTGATTAAGAATTATGAGAGTTACATACCTAATGTATGTATGAACCATATATGTATGTATCATGTTATGTATGTATGTATGTATTCACCTTCACATCATGAATGGATCTCTTTTTAGCAAAACATGAATTTCAAAGCAAAAGAATGTGACTAAGCCAAATTCAAAGAAAACTAATAGAGAAAGGCATAGATGTACATAAACGGCCAAAAAACTATCCTTCCTCTCACCCTCCCACACACTACCGAGCAGGATAGATTGTGTATGTTTGGTTTCAAAGTGATGGACGTCACATTTCAATTTAAAATTATATGCGGGAACTACTTAAGTTGAAAATGATATACTAGTGTAATGTCATCAAATATCCCTACTAAACAGCTAGGCACTTCGAAATACTATGCAAAATGCCAATGAATATCACTAGCAAAAAGATAAAATTAAATCAATCGGTACAATGGAAGATGTGTGATATAACAGCTTACCTTGCCATGATGCTGAATAGCAGTTGCAATACCACCAGCATTAACCTCAGATAGTGATTTATCAACATAGAATGCAGCCTTTTGATGAGGATTTTCACCATAGCGAAGTGAGTTTTTTAGCGATAGAGGCACCGTAAAGCTGGGGGGGAAATTATCTTCCAAATGACAAAAATGATCATTGAGTCCTTAGATCATTAAAACTCCGAACAAGTAATAATCGGCTATTCCTTTAAACAAAACTTTTATGAAGTAAATACCTCCACTGGTCTGCTTCCACAACCACTCAGAAACTGCAGAATCGTATGAAGCAACGTGTTGGAATGCTTTCCAAGCTAACATTCTCCTGAACTGTTGGTCATCCGACTTTCCTTGAAGTATTTGCAGGAGCTCAGGATAGTCATCAGAATCAACCACAACCAGAACATCTTTATGATTCTGTTTTAAATCATGCATAACCCTACTTAGGAATACTCATAGAAATCTTTGGGCGTCAAAAGCACACTCATAGAACACTAAGAGTTCATTTATCAATGCTGACAAAGGAAATGGATAATGTATCACACTATTACAAAACTTACCAATGTGTTTCCATTTATACCATGTTCCTGAGGTTCTATGACATAAGGAGAATGATAACAAAGACAAAATAGAGCATGAAAAACTACCCAAGCACGCCTATGCTAATAACATTAAAGGGTGTTTGTCTTCCCAATGGGGAATATATGCTTACAAAAAAAATGGAGTCCAGCTGTTCCAACAAGGATACTGATTTGCATGTGCGTGTCATGTAAATGCATTCCAGAATTTGCAAGTATTAGAAAAAAACACAGACGTAAATGCATTCCAAAATAAGCAATTGTCTCAACAACCTTCGCAGCTGCTCTGATCATAGTAGGTCCTCCAATGTCAATGTTCTCAATTCCATCCTCAAATGATATGCCAGCTGAGGAAGAAACTTTTTCATAAAATGGATACAAGTTGACCACTACAACATCAAATGTACCTGGCAAAGCATTGGTTCTAGCATACAGTTATGACTTATCAAATTACATTTATACAATAAATGGTGTATAATGAATCTAAAAGGATACTTTAGTTTTACCAATTCCATGTCTATCAAGGGCTTCCATATGATGGTCCTGATCTCTTCTAGCCAGAATACCCCCATGAATGGTAGGGTGCAAAGTTTTTACACGGCCATCAAGCTGAAAAGAAAGACCACAAAACCGTGTGTTAGAGACCTCATGGTGAGACAACTAATTGGTGAATAATTTTAAATTCAAAAAAACGATATATTTTTATTTTGGGAATGGATAAGCATTACATGCAGTAATAAACTATTTAAAACAACAAATTTGTGTGACGTGAAATGGTGAGACCTACACAAGGAAACAACCCCCCCCCCCCTAAAAATAAGAATAAACTACCAAGGCACATGCAACAATTTCTATCCAGCCATATTGGCAAGACAAAAGCTGATGTTAGAAATTGCAGAGGAGAAAGAAATTAATCATCTAGAAATACAGTCAACACTATTTTCTAATCTGAAATTTATTCATTGCTCAAACACTCAACATTACAATCCAGAGGATGGCCAAATCATTCCCATACACTCAATAAACAATTGAGTGGCTCTGGCAAGAAAACGAGCTGCCTTGTTTGAATAGCAGTGAACAAACTGAAATTTAATAACATTTATCTCCGGGGAAAGAGAGAGACAATCAAAGAAAATAAAAAAATAGAGTAGAATCTTCATCATCATTTCTCTAAAGCTTTGAGAACCCATGTTGGGTCTGATATTAAAACATCAGACCAATTCAGTAGCTTTAAGCTCTTCAGGGAATCTTCAGTGCCTGCCGCTTCAGCTTCCTTTACCATAAAACTACCTGTAACTTCATGAATTTTATGAAGTTTTTCCAACTCCTATCATTAAATTATATGCATAGGAAATTACTCCGTATATACAATATTTCAAGTAAATTTTTAACCTTCATTCATTATTTTTTTTAGGAAACCTTCATTCATCAATTAAATAGGGGGTATATGTCAACATATTTTTTTTTATATTTAAGTTTATGGATGATTTTTTTACTTTGGGTTGATTTAACCCCTAAATAAAAATTGAGGGAAAACATCCCACCAAAAGAAAAACTATAAAAAAAAGTTTATTTTTAACAAACAAATTAAATAGAAGTTTTCCTGTTGCTATCATTATTATTTCAAATAAACAAATTTTAACTTAAGTTGAACTCTGTCCCATTCACAAAGATTTATAAATTGATAAAAGCTGATATTTAAAAAAATCAAGAGTGAAGATCATATGTAAATTTCTAATTATTTTCAAACTACATAAAACAAAATCATAGTTATATATTTTTTGAGATTAATTTTCATGCACCTTTTCAAGGAAAAATAATAGAGTAATCATATACGATAACACTTATTTTCATGGAGGGATTTAGAGTGTAGTAAAATAACAACAGGAAAACCATGGTTTTGTTTAATATACATAAAGAGATAGATATATTCTACAAAATAATCTTAAATTAAACCAAGAGCAGGATGCACATTCAGTTTAAAAAAACTGAATTCAGTTTGTTCCAGTTATGCACGGTATTCTGTGTTTATTCACATCAAACCAATCCCAAAAAGAAAACTCTTCACCCTTTCACCCTCTCCCACACATCGAAAGATGTGACCAATTTGTGGTTGGATATAGCATCATTTCAGGCTGCCCAAATAGAGTAGCTGATAAGCACAATCAAAGCTGAGTTACTAGCAAAAGAAATTCTTAACACTGCCACCATCCAATAGTCCTGCGTAATGATTGTGGAAGATTACACGGTAAATTATTGGAAGGTTTGCCAGGCTATAAAACTTCCTCCTAAATGAGATTCTTTGTTAAGGGTTTCAGTTAGATTATTTCCTTATTGGCTTATTCTTACATTCTAAATCCTATTAGGTGGAAGTTGTATCTATCAGCCTCTGTCTCAAAGAGGCTGTAAAGTGGGCCAATAAAAATAAACAAAAGGCTACAGACACAGTTTTGTTTGATGAGTAAAAAGTATACCCAAAGGTACACATATAAGAAATCGAACACACACACAGCCTTTATTTTTTTCTAAATATCTAGAAAAAGCATAATGTACTGTCTCCCACTGGTTTGTGCAAAAACGCCTTGAAGGGAATGCACTTCGAGAGGTAGGAATACTTTGAGAAGCAAAATACAATTACAGCAATACAATAAACCATGTATAATTTTGAACCTCAAAAGCCAAAATAATTACAGTGAATGTACTAAACCATGTATAATTTTGAACCTCAAAAGCCAAAATAATTACAGTGAATGTACTATCACACAAAAGATATGTAAACAAAATCAAAATAATAGCATTTCCAATGCTCAAAAAATCCAACCTAACTAAAGGCTAGCATATATGCCTATATGGTATAATTCTGTTTTTCATAAAATTATCATATCACTCTTGAGGCTTTGTTTGGCAAAACAAACTGATAATTCAGATATTGGCTTATTGCATGAGTACAGACACAATACCCATACCGGGTAATAATATGGGTACAAGTACCAAAAAACGTGTAAAAGGTAGGGTAAGGGTACATCAACTTACACATCTAAATGTAAGAATATCATAAAATACACATTCAATTTTCAAATGAGAAATTGGAATTTCATTAATAAACAATATTAAAGTGTGTAAAAACATAAAACAACAAAAAAAACTAGGTTTATTATTCTAGTGAAGAATCAGAATGCTAGTGAAACAAAATAAAGCATAACAAATAGAAAATAAATACTAAAATTAATAACCTAGAACCTAAAATGAATAAACAGAACAAAAGAACTTGCTAGAAACATTACCCATTTCGCCACCCCCTCCAGAGAGCAAAGATTGGAGAAAGATGGAAAAGAAGTATGCACACCTAGGGACCTAGGTGTGCACGAATGTTGATTGGGACAGGTGGATCAATACAGTAGTGAATTGGTGATGGTCTATGGCTTGGTGGGTGATGGTGGGACATGCTAGAATGCTAGGTTTTGAACAAAAGAGAGATAAATGAGGAAAGTGGAATATGGAATGTAAAAGTCGGATGAATAAAACAAATGAATGAGAAATGCTATAGGAATGTTTTCAAAAGCCAATGAAAAAAGGAAAATAATGCAATTTGACCATGACTACCACTCGCAAACTAAATATAAATTAAAATTAATTATAGGAATGTACCTGGTGGCTTTGACAATTGACATACAGAATTTATTCCTATTTTGTTATGTTATATTTTAGGCTATTTATCAGTTAAGTTAGTTGATTTCATATTATCTTTGACAAATATCATCTAAAAGGTTAGCTTTGACATATAAATCAACATAGAGGATATTTCAAATAATTTTAAAATAAAACAAGGTTAAAATGAATATACTCATGTAACTTATTTGAGAAGTTACTCAGAGCAACTTCTGTACAAAGTTACTCAAAGTAACTTCTTTAAACTTACTCAAGGAAGCTTATTGAAGAAGTTCAAACTGATCAAATATGTCAAAACCTCATTTGGAAATTGGAAAGCTTCCTTCAAAAAAATTAGAGCAAGCTGAAAAGCTAACTTATGATGTGCCAAACATAGTGTTAGCAAAACCCACAACATGGGGTCACTTAATACTGTTCAAAGTGTATTACCATTTCAGGAAAATGTGTAAGCTCTTCAACTTTGGTCACTGGAACCCCAGCAACCTCCAGAGCTGATGCAGTTCCACCAGTAGAAACAATTGTGAACCTAAAAGCATTTCAGAAATAAAAAAATAAATAAGCCCAAACAGAGAAGGCCTTAAACAGCCAGATCGAATGATTTAACAACCATCACACTCATATTTTTGTAACAAATAAATACCAAATTAAATAATGCATACATTAGAATGGATAATATAAATGGACTAGTTAAGATGCGACTGAAGATGGGCAAGACAAAAGCACAAGAATATTTACCCTAAATCTTGTAATCCATTTCCAAGCATATACAAATCTTTCTTGTCAGAAAGTGATATCAACGCTCTCCTTTTCCCTAAATACATAAACGTATATGCAATCATGCATGACTATCATATGCATTGAATCATATGTGATAGTACATGTATTTACACATTCAGGTATATACAAAAGATAGAAAATGAGAAGAAAGCAAACATACATACCGGAAGTAGAAGATTTGAACTCGCACTTAGGAGTAGCGAGAGTTCCAGACATGGCTTTGATTGATCGCGAAGTAATCTTATATGATGTAGTTACACACTGAAATATGCAATTAAATGTTTAAATATAATTACAATATGTATAAAGGAAACTTAATGCATTCAAAGTATTGTTAGACAAAAATAAAGTACCTCTTGACGATTGAAGAAACAGTAACTTCTGCTAGTCAATGGATGTAGAGCAGAGCAGAAAGAGCAGGGATGGGTGCTACTTGATGTGGCAACGACGGAGACAAAATTCAGCCGGAACATGTTAGAGTTGAGTATAGAGATCAGGGTGAATTATTTCCAATCATGGGCAAGTTCTAAAGGCCAAGACCTGAGAACCAAACCGCGTGTCTTAAATAATGCAGTTTCCTTTGCCAAATTTTGCGCCAAAACTGCTAGAAACACAATAAACTATAAGGATAGGCTCTCCAGTAAAGAAGCATACATGCTTATTGCTTATCAATTTCTCCAACTCCTGAATTTCTTGTCTCCGTTTGACCAACTTCACGGAGTTTAAGAGAAGTGTTGAAAAGTAAAGTGACTGATTGAAATTTGTTTAAAAGAAAGAGAAAAATTGTGGACCACATATTCTTCACTTTATTAGGTAAAAAAAAGAAGTGAGACAATTTTTTTGTGACTAGCTAAAAAGGAAAGTGAGACAATTAATTCGGGATGAAAGGAGCATTCATGTTTAAGTTCTTACTATTCCCTCCGTCACACTTTTTTTAAATCTTTTAACGTTTTTGTTCGTCCATTTATTTTTGTCTCATATCATGTTTTGTCATAATTGTCTTGTTCACATTCATTCTTAATTTATCTTACTCTTTAAAAATAGTATAAACCACATAATCTTATTTTTTTACTTCTTGTATAACTCCCTTATGTCCCAAAAAAAGTGGAACGGAGAGAGCACAATTTAGGAATTCAACAAAAAAAATCTACATGACACCAATTTAAGAGTGGGTTAGGAATATTAGGAGAACCACTTACGGAGTAATATATAGCAATAAATATTATGCATTGCATATCCTAAAGCCTTACACTACATAATTGTCGGAGGAGAACAAAATATGCATAAAGTACTCAAAGGCAAGCTAGGCGATGCCTGAGGCAGTGATTGAGGCGAGAAAGGAGATCGCCTTAGGCGCGCCTAAGGAATCTCGCCTCGCTTGGTTTCCTTGATTGGTTTCCTTGAGGCGATGAGAGCTCACCTAGACGCCTAAGACGCCATAAGATAGAGTGGCGGGCGCCTTTAATAACTATGGACTAATAAAAGCAAGTGTAACTTATTATCATTAAAAAAATTGGACGAATAAAAATAAGAATAAATTTATTTTTATTATTATTATTATTATTATTATTATTAAAAATGGACCTATATTAAATATGGTTCAATTGTTTGAAGAAGAAAGGGTTCTTCACATGTATTTATAATGGACAACTAAAAAATGCATTGACTAACGGCAAAATAATAGGAAGAACCAACCATGCATTGCTAACGTGACTTGAATGATTATTCATGAAATTTTTGAAGCTGAAGAACTAATTATGCATGACGTAATAACTTGAAGGACAAACAATGCAATTTAGCCTAAAATTGAATTGAAATGGAGGGAGTACTTGTGTACCCATATATGTTATTGAATTCAAATGGACCAATGACTCCAATACAAAGAATGTGGAAAAAGCCTAAACATACACAACTAAACAATAATTCAACTTAGAATTTATATTACTATTTCACAACAAAACACACCTTAAATATTTCACTCCAGATTGGATACTACTCTGCACTTTTGCAGCCAAAATTTTCTTTAATTTGGTCTGCTAACAGACTCAAGAAATATTTAGGGGGCGTTTGGTTCAGGGGTAAGGGAATGGGGAAAGGGAATGGGATTCCCTCATTCCCTTTGTTGATGTTTGTTTTAAAAAAAAATTCATTCCCTTTCCCTATTTTTAAGTTTTGGATTACCCGTTTCAGGCTTTTCCCATTCCCTAGCTTATATCCGGGTTTCCTCTCTCATTCCCTGCGATTCCCCCATTCCTGTTTCTTCTTCGCCAATAGCCAAGCTCCGTTTCTTCTTCCCCCGTCGCCGCCACTCACCTTCACGCCGGTAGCTGCAACTCCATCCTCTGCAGGTATGTTCTCCCCCTCCCTTCCAT